TGATGTTTTTAAAATAAAATAAAAAGATGCATTAGAAAAATTAATTTGCTAAATGGAAATTCTGTGTTTTGATTAAAAAGTTTTTTTTCCGGTCATATTGAAATTCTTCTATTCGCAAAACTGTGATGGAAACACTTTCGCATCACATTAGTCATGTGATTTGCAACTGGACCTTACTGCCTCGTAAAAAGACGAAGAAGAAGACTGGAAGTACTTGGAGGACTTATATAATTTTACCAGTCCTCTGATTTGCTGGTATATGGATATAGCTCATGTGTTTACATCTGCCGCTGCTATTTCACATGAACAAACGTAGTCACATGCAATTTGAATTTTAATAGTCATTAAATAGAAATGCTGCAATTAGGAACAAAATCGTAATTTTTTTTACATTTGTAATAGGGACGGAGCTCCTGTCTCCAGCTTTAAAGGCAGAAAAGGACATAAAACTGGGGTGGGAGTTCCTAAAGGCAGGGTGACGACAAATATGTTTATAATAATCATCTATTAAAATGGCCTAGTCAAAGTCCAGACCTGTGGCAACAATCTGAAATTGAAGCTCTGCATCCATTCTCTAAAGAAGGGTAAAAAAAAAAAAAAAATCTGAAATTTACTCATGTCATGATGCAGGGGGAGTGAATATATATGCATGCATGCCACACTTTTCAGATTTTAGTTTTTATTTCAAGAATTTAAACCCATGTGTTATTTGTTTGTTCCATTTTCTGTTACTCAAATGGTGGAAAAATGAAGGAGCTTGTGGTAGTAACATGTGGAAAGGGTTCCCCGGCTACGGCTGCACATTTCAGATACACCAGTTTCTTTTCTGCTGGTTTTACCTGATCCACAAACAACGAATACAAAGAGGGCGAGCAGCCAGGGGCCTACAGGGTACTTCTCCTCTTGTGGTCGCTTGGGGAAACAAAGACACACATGGTGGACGTTAGCTCGACTGCCACAAAATAAAGATCTTTGCAGCCACAAAGGAAAAGTGAACCTGTTTGATTAGAAATATGATCAAAGAGTTTTACTATCATTAATCACACCTATAGCTGTAATATTTTCTTTTTCATTCTGCCTCAATCTACAGCACCCAGAGATGGTTTTAAATCAACGTTATTAGGTATGAGTTTCACAAATGTAACAAAGCTGCTTCTCTATAATCTTAAGAAGATATGGAGCCCCAGTTGGCCGGAGTTTAAAATCCATCATGTTTCATCTCCCTGAATACGGAGAACTAGACTGAAAAATCAAAACACTTATCGCCTTTAAAAACCTACATTAAAAATGTCGTTTTATTCATAGGAACTTACTTTTGAATTATTTTCCCCCTTATAGATGTCTGCTGTTTTGCTCTTTAACACATTTTATGATTTTAGATCATTGAACTTGTTTTAATATTAAATAAAAAGCTGATTTTAGATCATGTTTGTGTGTTTAAGTTAAAAATGTGAAAATAAAATTGCCTGACTTGCTAAATTATGAATCAACTTTAACCAGGATTTTTGGTTAAGTTTTAGCAGCCAGATTGAGGGTTGATTACTGGGACCCCTGTGATCCAAAACAAGAACCATTATCTATAAATGAACAGTGGAAACCTTCCCAAGAGTCGCTGGATGACCCAGAATATTCCAAGAGAACATCGACTCATCCAGGAGGTCGACCAAACTCAGAACGCCATCTAAAGCACAGCCCAGAGGTCATGATTCAGCGATCAGAAGGAAACGAGGAAGAAAGTATCTGGGTGGTGTGTAGCTTGGCTACGTTAGAAACATAAAAGGAATCTGGACAAAGTGATCATTTTGATAGATTTAATTTTGTCAATCATCAATATCGTCAATATTCCATTTACTAAACACAGTTTTAACCTGATTTATTAAATCATCAATTTCAAGAAGCTTACCCATACTTTTTGGTATGTATATATATATATATATATATATATA